GACTTTTAATTATCGCAATAAAAAGAAAATAATTTAAATACGACCAAATTATATGCTTTACTTCCATTAATTTTCTACCACTTCTTTTTTCGCTGAAATTTGATGGAGAGAACACTTATGTAACTTTATTTTGTCTAACAAAAATTTTACCTAAGAAAAAAAAAAAAAAAAGAACATAAAAAAACCCTGAGATACTCGTGGATTTTTCTTCAGGCAAACATATCTAATACTTAATAAATTATCGATAGTTTTTATGTTATGGTTAAAATCAGTAATTAAAAAAATATATATGTATGGTTTAGTTAATGTACTAAGTCAAAATTTTGACAATTTTTATCTAAGAAATTAACATGACATTTAAATTTTAAAACTGAATAAAAATAAATAAATATTTAGTTTTATCTAAATTAAATTTGCACAAACATGTAATAGTATACAAGAAGTAAGACGAAAAAACATACATTTTTGCACCAACTTTTAAAAGAAGCTTTTTGTATTATTGATCGAAATTTGACTACCATCATTTACTGTTTTGACAATGCTGCTATCGCAAAATTCATTTTTTATTTAAAACAAAAAAATTCACTTATACGGTATACATTACGAAAACGGATGATTTACATTTCGAACTTAGTTAAGGGGTTTCCCTCGAAAAAAAACCAGGTGTTACTTGTAAATATTTAAAACAGGTCTTTTTTTTAAAAAGAAAATGCAGAAAAATGAGCAGATGCTGGTGACAAGTTTCTGGTGTCGATAAATTGGCCATAAAAAACTATATTAGGCATTTACAAAACATTATTTTACAAAGAAAATACAGGATCTTAGAGATGAAAATTTAAACAAGATTCTTTTCTATATTAATTTGAATTTTTCTTTATCATAATTTATATGTTCCCGGCAAAATATGAAACGCCGACATTGTACAGAATGCCTAGGCATTGTATATAATGCCGGATGTTTTTAGGATAAGTAGGAAAAGTGAGAATTATTACATACTTTCCCTAGGCATTGTATAAAATACCTAGGCATTCTAGAAAACGACCAATGCTATTTAGGCAAAGTATGAAAAAAACATACTGATGAGGTTATTATGTAAACATGTTACTGTGAATGACCGAAATCGGAGGTAGTTGACTTTCACCGGTGAATGTTGACAATCACGTAGTCGCTCTGGTGAATGTCCGAAATATTTATTACATCCGATTTGATACTAATTTATTCGTGGATATAATAACATTTATTCGATATTTTAATACTTACTGACGATAGATTAGAAGAAACATCAGTGTTTGGAGTATCGGGCAAATATAAACCGGGCAATGACACTTGACCTTAAAAAAAACATCAGTGTAGGATATACCGGGCAAATGTATACCGGACAGTGGAACTTAACTAGACCTTTGGTAAATGTCCGAAATATATACTAGATCGAGTTAAGTGCCACTGCCCGGTATACATTTGCCCTCTATACCCTACACTGATGTTTCTTCTAATCTATCGTCAGTAAGTATTAAAATATAATCATTTTAGTGTTAATTTATACTACTGAAAGTAATTGCAAAAAATTTTTGTATATGAATACTATGAAATGTAAGTCATAGTGGTACATACAATTGAATATTTTAAAAGATAACAAATAAATAAAAGTAAATTGAGTCTCTACTACTTTTTACAAAAATAGTCTCCGGTGGCATCCCAAGCTCTTTCTAAAACGATAGCGATGGTTTATATAGATCTGGTATTAAATAAATAAAAAAAGTTTATAGTTTGAAAAGTGAAGCATTCCATTACGCGACCATTTTTATTTATTGTATTCTGTATCAGTTAATTTGTAATTGTTTGTAAATAATCATTCTTTTTCTCTCCAAGTGGGCAATAAATGGGATTCAAAATCCAGTGATAAGCTGACAGAAGAAGAAATACAGCCATTCATCTACGAGTTGGGTTACGCCAATAATCATTTCCTCATNATTATAGCCTTGCTTTCTATTTGACTCCTTACTGGTAGCATAACTTTGAAGTAAACGGTCATGAACGTGAATATTTTTTATTCAAGAAAATTATATAAAATTAAGTGTATGTACCATGTATGAGCTGAATTTTTGTTTTGGTGCAAATTTTGTAGCTCATATGTTTGATGAGGGCTGACATTTAATTTAAAATAAACTATCCCTAATCACATTAAAAATTGTCTGGTATTGCCATCTGGTGTATAGAATGAGAAAAAAGGTTGTTCTAGCAGGAAAAATAAATAGATTAGATGAATCGATTGCTTTAACCTTTTAAGCGTGTTACTCCATCCCGGAAATATCACGGTCACGTCAAACAGAGAGCGAATTTTTACCCCGTTATTTTGATGGAAGCGAAAAGGAGGGAGTTAAACCTATTTTATTACCATGTTTATATAAACTTGCCTTCGTGTATGTCTGTCCGGGTGGAATTTTGTAATCGATTTTAAACTAACTTCCCGACTATCTACAAACTTCAAATTTGGCACATAGTTCAGAATTGGATGACAATGCATGAAAATGAAGAGAAAAAAGACATACAAAGTAAAATAAAATTCAAATTTCAAAATTAAATTTTTTTCGAGATTGTCTTTTGTTGTCGATTCCATTATTTCAAATTAGTATTACCTGTCAGGTGAAAAGATTTTCATTGTCGGAGTATTTTTATTGGCTGAAAAATCACGTGGTAGGATCCAGTTTTTCCTCATTCATTTCCAGATTGTTTTGGTTGTCATCAGTATAAAACTAATGAAAGTCGTAAAGGTATTGTTTTTCGATAAAGATTTTTGTATCCCTAATTTAAAATGAAAGTTCTATTACTTGTAGTAGTCTTGACTACTCTTGACTAAGAAGAATAATCTAAATAAAAATATATTTTTTTAAAAACCACATTTTTTGTAGTGAAGAATAATAATTGAAAAGTAATAACTTTTAAAAAATATAAAATGAAAATTAAAAAAATTATAATTTAAAATAAAAAAATTCAAAATAAAAAGTAATATTTTTAAAAACCACGTTTTTGTAGTGGAGAGTAATAATTAAAAAAAATTGAAAAACGAAAAACGTGGGGCGGATGAAATACATAACAGTACATATACACATACATATACACATTTTCTTATCATATACACATGCACAGTCGCATATACATCCACATACATATGCATATACACAAACATATTCCACATCCACATTCAGATAAAATTACAATTACAGATATACCATACACATATTCTCAAGAGCACACATACACACACTAATTTAGTACTACTGTTATGTATTTCATGCGCCCCACGTTTTTCGTTTTTCAAATTTTTTTTTAATTATTATTCTCCACTACAAAAACGTGGTTTTTAAAAATATTATTTTTTTATTGTTTGTCTTAACGTATGGGAAAGACACCCATGAAGAATAGCGATTGCTAAATTTATTTCATTCATTGCTACACATACATAAGTAGGTTTGTGTGCCTCATTACAAAGACGTATTGTAAGTCTTTGTCAAGTTAATGACTGCGCAAATTAGTTAAGGACATCAAAAAGATTCATCC